ATTATTATTATTGGAAGAAACAGTACACCTAATTATAACCATAAAAAACAACACTGTATCTACAAGTTAAATCCTGTTCTAGTTTTTAGGAAACAATCCAAATTATTTTACTGCAAACAATCAATGAACCATGTAGAGCTTCAGAAATACTTTCACTAATTGGAAGTTTTTTAAATGATATTTATTCTCATAAGATTTCTGTGTTATTCAGAAAGGAGGAATTTTAATTACTGATTGTTTAGGTGAAAATTTTGTATGAGATAAGGGAAATGTTAAAATAATTAGATATTGCTATTTTTTATTTAAAAAATAAAGAAAATACAGGCTTCAGGCCAGACCGCAATGTTACGTTTAAAATATAACGAAGACTCAGTTTGGTGTTCATTCTGCAAAGACTGACTTCGACTGGGTCTGTGGCAGGAGGAAGAGGGAACGGCTTGGCTTGCTACAAAATGAACAGTTTACTTGGTTTAGCCACCCTTGCACTCATGAGACCATTGTTTGAAATATTTCATTTGGTATGTCTAGTAAATTGATTACTTTTTTGTAGTCTAGCTAGCACATGAAAATTTACCCAATGATAAATTCTGTGTGCTGACGTAAACTGTAAAGCCCAAAATTACATGAGTGCACTCAATTATAATATGAAATGATGAAATATTTTTCTTTTTTTTTTTGCAATTCAATCATTTACTGTGAGTATACTACGTTCATCGTAAGCTTGACATTATAAAGGCTAAGATTTAAAGATTTTTTTTCTCACAGGTCCGTAAATCTCCAAAAAACCTAATGCCAGTGAACTTTTCTTGTTATTTCATTTTATTAATGTCCCCTGATTTTATAAATAACAAATGCTTTTTGTAAAGTGAAAACACAAACATAAATGAAGAAATATTTCATCTGGAGATCACCATCTAACATTTTAGTATATTACATGGAGTCTTACAAAACATAAGAATATGAATTTGGAAATAACACTGACCTGGAGAATTGTCCTACTTTTTAATTAATACTATATTTTATGACTTATTTAATTAAATAGCCTTCAAAATAAAATAATTGCATGATATTCCATTATCATCATCACAACAATAATGGCCACATTTATTCTCATAAGATGTCTATATGTGGTAGGCAAAAAAGAGGAATTTAAATGACTGATATATTGATGAGCCAGGCACTAAGACAAGGATCTTTATATGTATTACTTCATTTACTCCTATTTTGTCCCCACTTTGTATGTAAGAAAGCTGAGGCTTCCTTGGCTTATCAAGATTCTTCAGTTAGAACAAAGTTGAAATCTGGATTCACGTCCTTCAGACCACGAAGTCAGTGCCCCTGGTCAGTATGTCCATTATCCCCAGTTACGGTACCTTGTATCACAGTAACACATTACAAATCATTTACCTTCCTATCATGGGACACTTAGTTTATTTCCAATTATCCACATATTTCACGTCACTGAGATAAGCATCCTTGCACATATGGGGAATCTCTACACCATTATCTTACCTTTTCAGGATAAATTATTTTTATCTGACTTGGCTGTTAATTTTGCATCAAAGTTCTGTCTGTTGGTCCCCACACCCCTCCTTTCAACTCTGGCTTTTAGGACCTCATGTCCTTGGTTTCTAGAAATTTTCCAGTTGGCCCACTTTCCATGGAAACACTCCTTGAGCTGAAATCTTGACTTTTCCCCATAGCCCTTCTCTGTTTCATAGGCATCTCTGAAGGTTGCTGCCCTCCTGATCATCCAGTGAGCCTTTCCTGTCACCTTACCTGACTTGGCTTCCACACACAGCACAAGGGCTGCCAAGTAGCTGCCACCTCGTGGACAGAGTCACATGTTGCACCTGGTGTTGACTTTCCTGGTCCCTTTGTCTCGGGAGAATTGACAATCCAGATTTGTTTTTGGACTGAAGCAACATAATCTGCACACATGTTACCGGCTAGCAGCATTCACGTGTGTGGCGAAATTGGTTCATTTGTACTGAGTGTTTACTGAGTGTCCTCGTCCCATGATACTAGTTCCCCTCCATGTGGTTGGCAGGAATCACGGTGTACAGAGTACATTCTAAAATGGTTACTTTACTGAATTGTGGAATTTTACTAATCGATGTATTTCCACTCTTTGGTACCTTCCTAGCATCTTGCTTAATGTAGCTTGTATAAAGAAGCAAACTTGAAATACTTCAGTTTCATAAACTCCCAAATAATCACCTAATCCTAAAGTTACTAATCCCTATCCGTGGCTCTCGAACGTTAAAGGATGTAAAAGTGACCTAGGAAACTCATTAAAAAGTGCAGACTCTGCAAACTTCTTCCCAATAGCCTGCCACCCCTGTGATGCTGGTTCAATAGGGACCTTAGTTTTAACACACGCCACGGCTGGTTGATTCTGATGCAGATGATCTGTGAACCACACTCTTAAAAAGCAGCGCAAATAAATATTTCAGCAAGTTCACACGAATATTTGTCAACTGTGAAAGAAAGAGCATTTTGCTCTCTCCTCACTCCTGCATCCGAACATAACCGAAAAAGAGCTGGCACCTTGTAGCAACTCCGCGGTGCTAACCTCTTGGCTCCACCCAGATTTTCTGCAAGGGCACAAGGGACAGTCACAAAGAAGCTAAAGAATGACACAAAACAGCCCCAGAATTTTCCCTTGCACCAAGTACTATTACAAACAGAAGGCCACCAGTGAGAGCCTTCTCTTGGTCTCCTATGTATCTAGAATTTAGAACACACAATGGGTTTAAAAGTAAGGAATATGCCTCAAAGCCGTGACACAGTAATATTCCTCTATAACATAAGGTGTAGGTTTTTAAAAATAAATAAGATCAAACTGTTCTGCTTACCTAACTCTGTATTAAAGCACTTGCTTCCTTTTTTATGTGTGACCTTTTTAGCATCACGTTTTGTTTACACGAAGACTGTATATCACGTTTCATTTAAAATGCTGCTGAGTGATGCATTAATTTGCTTCCTCTGAAAAAGTTCAACGAAAGTGACTTAATTTGCTCCTTAGTTTGGTGGAGCAAGGGAGGTGGGGTGGAGGGAGAAGACCTTTCTGGGTGGGAAAACCAGGATCTCGTTTTTTAGGATTTCTGTCCTCAGACTGAAACCCAGACCCAGAAGAGAGGAAATAATAGAGGAAAGCCTATGAATGATTTAAAAAAAAAAAGGCAAAAAACCCAGAAGCAAAACCGTGCTGCTGTGTACTCAGCCTTGCCCACCTATTAGCTGAATAGGTTTGTTCCTTACAAGCAGTTGAGAGAACAGTAGGGCAGGGCTCCATCTCCTCTGACATCTTCCAGGAGATGCTGTGAGCTCACGGTACCAGCCATCGCCTCCCAGGCTCCCAGCCGCACATTCCTTTTCCTTCCCTCTGGTCTTCTCCGGAGGCTGTCTTCTCTCTCGCTGCCCACTGTGGTTACAGAATGCTCTCGCACTGACTCGGGGAAGCTCTCAGATCCGCTCCAACTTCCTTGCCTTCTGGTTCCTCAAGATACTTCTTGAGTCAAGGCCTGACTTTCAACAGTTTGTAATTCACTTGGCTTTGGCAAACCCATACGGATCATTTCCTGGATTCCTAAAATGCAAGTGACTGCTGTTTCTCCTCAGGGGCTTAGTGGGTTGCTCTTTAGCAGGTTATTATTTTGGCTACAGTGTTGGAACGTGTCAATAACGAGAGGATGATCAGAGATGTGATTTTTCATGTTGGTCAGTGAGTTTCACGTTGAGGGAAAAATGGTTCTTTAGGCAAAGTTGCAGCCTAATCTCAGTCACGCGCCTACTGCACATATGAACTCATTCAGCCACCCATCGCTCGCAGAACAGGCATATTGAGAACCGCCCATTCTATGCGCTGGGCGTACAGTATGGAAGCAGACGGACAAGAACTTCCGAGGGTCACGTTCAGTGTGGTGCAGCTGCTGTCTTCGTCCTGCTGAAGCAGCATTTTGTAGGGGGATCTCTAAGAGTTTGCCTCCTGAGGTGCCAGATGGTTTATTGGGAATTTTATCTGCTTTTCATTTAAGCCTCAAGATGTATCACACTGACTTGTGGGCTATGGATACAATTTGTAGCTTCCTGAGTACCATACATAAGAGACTTAGACACTATTACAAGCCATGGAGTTCCCAAGGGCCATCACAGATGAAGCACTGATCCAGCTTCTGGGAACAATGAATGGGAACACCATGGCAAGATGCCAGCTGTGGAGCAAAGTGGAGCCTGGAGCTGTGATCATCCTTAACTCTGGCGTCCTCTGCTCCTATGATAATAGGAGCAGCCAACATACTACTAAGAGCTAACTCAGGGCCAAGTTAACTCTTTTTAACACCGACAACAAAACTAAGAAGTAGGCTCCTCCAACCCTCTCAACACGGGTCATGCAAGCGAGGAAACCAGACCCCAAGTCTGAGTGACTTCTCAGTCCCACAGCCAATCAGGGCGGAGCTGGGCGTTTACGTCATCAACACAGTCTCTCTGGAGTGTTTGCACTTAGGATACCATGGTGACTGCCCAGTAGACTTAAACTCCCAGGGGAGCCATGTTTTGCCTCTGAGGCAAAGCCATTCTCCAGCAGAACAGCTAAGAGAGCAGCTAAGGCTGGGCTTGACGGGGGATCTTAAGCACACGTGATTTTTATAGGGGTTCAGAATCAGCACCCATTTTAAGTGAATGTCCTTCTTTCCATCCAATGTGAACAAAGTAGTTTCATAGTGTTTCAAGCAAAGCAATCCTTTGCAGATGCTTCAGCAATTTCTCCCACGTATGTTCTGAGCCACTGGATATGTAAGATTCGGTTGTCAGGTGATCATTAGGAACATATGCTCAACTGACAAATATTCTAAAGTCAAAAAAAGAAAACCTTTTTCACTATCCTATTTTCTTCACTGATTTTTGTTAATATGAAATGGGTTGTACATGTGACTTGTTGAGAATTATTTAGTTTTATTTAGAGTATCTTTTTTTAGGTGGACCACTCTGTGTGATTTTCATGCTTAAAAACCAGCTTTTATTCAAATGTTTCACAGCCACCCTAGGAAAGATATATTATTATTTCCCATTTTATGATGAAAAAGCCACAGAGAAATTATGCAACTTAACCAATATCCCATAGCATCACAAGCTTTAGAATAGTAAAATTAGATAAATGTGGCGGTAACAACGGACCAATTACCTCTCCAAATCAAACTCTGAAATTCTAAAAAACGTAGAACAGGATTCTAAAAAAGAGACTCACTTCTCTAAATAAGAAAAATACAATCCCACAAGCTCATATCACACACATGATTAACAAACACACTGATTTTTAAAAACTATTTGGTTTACTTTATCATAACTATTAATATACAAGAATTTTATACATAATTTATTAAAAATAACTTTGAGAAATAGTATTTTTGACTGAGCAGTAAACTATAGAAAAGATAAACTGATTAGTGAATAAATTACCCAATGTTAATCCTTAAAATTAATTGTTATAAGCCAGCCTTGTGAATTCAAACTAGTCATGGTATTACCAATCCTAAATATTAGAAATACATTTAAAATGTTCATATGGTTAGTATACATAGAAAATTCACTGACTAAAATAAGGTGTGAAACCAAGCCGAGGAATCTGGTTGACTATTTAATTTAATTTTGTCTTACTCTTTCAAAATTTAAATAGTTTGGACAACTTCCACATTTGTTAAAACCTGTAATATTAAAATATTAAAAAAAACCTTTACAAACACATAGACATAACTAGCCATCTCTTCTAAAGATTATAAACAGTTATTCCTAGAGAGTTTGCACAATCCCTGTATTTCAAAGCTTATTTCAAAACCATCACTATTTTGCATTCATAAACTGTACCCTTGCAATAATGAACTGCAAATATACTATTATATACTAAACAGCCACATCCCAATTTTAATTACACTATTCCTCGTTAACATAGAATGCTGCAGCTAATAAAAGCATGACATATTTCTACAGTTCAAAGGCAAAATTAAAGCTTCTTTGTTGAGATAATGAAGCAATTACTAAGATACTTGAAACAAAATCAACATTACATTGATTTCAAGAAAAACCAAGAATATGTGTGCTTGCATAAAACAGAAATGCAGAATATCCCACTTTATAAGAAGGCTTTTAAAAATATTTAGATTCTCCAACCCAAGTAGGAATTCAAAAACAAAAAGAAAAGAAAGAGAGAAAGGAAAAAAAGAGAGGGAGATGGGGAAAGAAGGGGGGCGGGGTGGGGGAAGAGAGCGAGAGAACCAAAGACCAAAATCTTGCAGGAATAAAAATACATTCTTAAAGCATTTTTTTAAACTTAAATTTTGTGGAGAAGATGGGTAACAGAAATGTAGATTCAGTGCTGGATTTCACAGGGAATACAAGGTAGAAACTAAATAAACTCCACCAAAATGGAATTATAGTAACAGTCAGTGTTTGGAGGGGAAGCCCCCTTTGCATTGTGAAGAAAGGCCATGTTACAAGACTAAAAGAGGATCAAGAATGCAGTTTATACACTTCAGAATATTTAGGAGAACAGCAGCCTTCAAGCACCACACAATTAATTGATCGGGTAACTGAAGATAATGTTAAAGCAAGGTGTCTACAATTTTCCATCCAGTTATATTTCAAGTAGTCTATAAATTAATGATATTTTATTGCACTATGAATTAGCTGCTGTCATTATACCCAAAAGTAAACAAAAACACAGACTTTCTTAATTTTTCTATCTGCAGGTGTCCAAAGGTGGAAAGCAAGTAATTAAAAACTATGTCAAGATCAGGAAATTTGTGTACTTATTTACAGCATCTCTCTGTAAATGTGCATTTGACTAAAGAGATCCCATCAAAAAAGGGGCAAAAGCCTGAAACATAGCATTTTCTACTTTTAAAAAATCCTGGCTCTTGTAATAATAATAATAAAAAAGAAAAGAAAGCCATTGGCTTTTGTAGACTAATTGGAACGCACTCATCTCTTCATGCATGCTTCCGCTAATGTCCTAAATTTGGGTTCCAAGTGATCCAAAAAGTCAAGCCCATCTTCTTCTTGCCGTTCACTGCAACAACCCACAGAACCAGCGGTCGAGCCCCTCCCTTCGTACTTATATGTAAGGACGTAGTCTTGGGCATGCGTGTGATCGGTATCCTGGTCACACAGCCGGAGTCTCTGCCGAGAGGAAAAAACACAACATATCTTATTATTATTATCTTAAACACCAAAGCTTATTAGCATAAAAATAATGGCTTTGATTTACCTTTCATTGTTTAATTTTTAATCAGAGTGTGTCCTCTAATGGATTCCTACATGTAAAAAACGCACATGATTGGTCTAGATCATAAATCACACCATCAATTCACTATATAAGCATGTTTCTAAAAGTCACACATGTGGCAGCAAGAATACAAGTGTTCGTTTTCAGTCATCATGGCTTCCCCTTTCAAAATTATGGCTATAGGGAAATGCATCCACTAAACTGAACACGGATGATGTGGGCTCAGAGCTTTCCAGAGACGCAGAGTGACTGCAAGCTGGAATCACCTTGGGCCACACTTTTGGTTTTTAAGCCACAACATGTCTGATGGGAAATGGTAACACACAAAGTCACGAGAAAAATCATTTCAATATGGTCTCATTATTTCAGTAAGAATTAAAAACCAAACAAAATTTCCACCAAACACCTGAATCAAAAATTAAGGAAGAATGCCCGAAATCAAACTTAAGGAAGAACAAATTTCCAATGAGTAGATTAATAATTAATTGAAAAGGAAGGTCAGATCACTAAATTGTAATCATTTAGAAAGTGGAAAAGAGATCAAAATAGATTTGTAGGACACTTAGGGAAAACTCACTTCACCAAGACGGGGCTGAGTAAAAGAATACCACTCTGAGTGAGCGTATTTGCAGTTTTCCGCCACGACTTGTCCGCCTCTGCAGGAATCCAGGGTGTGCTGTCCACCTCCCTTACACGACTCCAGGGTGTGATGCTGCCCGGCCCCCCGGCACGATTCCAAGGTCTGATGTCCTCCTTTCACCATTTCAATGGTCTCCTGGCCTCCGCCTTTCACTCCTGACCCCATGGTGCCACAGATGCCCTGCGCTGAACTGCCCACAGTATGGGCTGAGAAGCCATTGGTGGAACACTGAAAGGAAACAGTTGGCGTTGGGGAAATATGGAGGACCAAAAAATGAGAAAAAGAACAAACCATGCAGACAATGCTGCGCATTTTCACTCTAGAAGGTAAGCATTCTGAGGGCAAGAACTAGGTCTCTCTTGGCAACCCTGGTACCGAACTGAATGCTGTAACCCTAGCAGTTCATGCAGTGTGCAATGCGAAAAGCAAATTGCAGATGTTAAGTGGTCCGAAACGAGACAAATCAAAAAGCTGAACGTATATGTCTTCTTTAAAAACTTCTCAGGCAACTGTACAACTTCATTTATTGAATCTTTCCAGCATCTCACACCTCAAGACCAAGATTCCACACTATTGTCTCACATAGATATACCCCGCTTGGTTTAAACTCATTCCCAGCACCTGACGGACACAGAAACAGGCAGAGGAATCAGCACTTGTTTTTGCTGTCTAATTGAGTTCCCCTTCAACTAAAACAAAAATAATAGAAATAGAAGTTGTCATAGAAGTCTTGGCAGCAATACTAAATCCCTGTGATCTAATTACATAAAAATAAATCAGCCAAGGAAATAAGAACACCAAACCTCTGGCCATTGATTTTCTATGTCGTGTTTTTGAAGGAAGCTCTAAGTTTTATTTTTTTTCCCAGTACTTTCCTAGAGGCCAACATCCTTTTGTTTTCTAAATCCTTCCTGCTCTAACCATCGATATGCATTTCGTAGGGAATTTACTTGTTCCTGATCCACATACCAGGCTGCAAATCAAAGCTGAAGCAGTGTTAGCATTACTCTTTCATATATCTGCCCTCAGGCTTGTTTCTAACCTACATTAGACCCTGAAAGCCTCCATTAAAGTTCTTCCCACACTGACCAAAGCCTGTAGTCGTTTTATTGCTGTGGCCAGAAAAAAATAAATAAAACCATTATGCTGATGATCTGTGAATAATTAAATACAACATTTTTACAGTACAACTGGCAGTTTCAATATATAAAAAAGACTGGGCCCAAAGTTGAAGCCATGAAACACTGGAAATAGAACATAATAATGACACCTCGAAGGATTTTTCCTAAGTAACACTATATGGCCAAATTGAAAGGGCACATATCCCCATGGGGTCAGTGTCATTTTATCTGTCCCCTGGGACGGATGACACTTCATATATTGTAAGTTACCTGATTTCAAAACAACTTTGCCGGAAAAAGACAATTATAGTTGGTTAGGCCAATTTATCCTTTGTATTTATTTTGAAAAGACAAATGGTTTACCACTCTGTCGTCGCCGGGAGCTTCGGTGTTTGACACGATGAGATTCTGCTGGGCTAAATCATCAGGAAATACTTTCGGCTTTTTGGCCGCCCCAGAAGCCCCACAAATTAAGGTAAACAGGATACCTGGTGGATGAGAGAAATTACTTCCACTTATCATAAAGCAATGTTGTGAATTTATGATGACAAATAGGAAGACAACTTTCCAGAAAACATAAATATCATTGCTTGTGTCAAAGCAACACCCCATAGCAAAGCCTGCCTTAACCAGATATGCCACGAATAACGCACTAAACGCTCTATTTCTGACTTGAATTTTATGTCTATGCTGAGACAGCACCAGAACTGTATCCAAAGGCACTTTCAATATATAAGTTAATGTATTCAATAGAAATATAGCTATAGACAAATGAACAGCCATAGATATCAGTGTTAATTCTAAGACTATGTCCTGAAAGTTGTTTCAAAGGCCATCATTCAAAATCATGAAAGGACTTACAAAATAGCAGTGCGATGCCCAACAAAATGGCAAGGATGGCCCACTTTCCAAGCATCACTCCTCCGTTGTCAGTCCGTGGACTGACGCGAAGGTTGCAGTCATTTTCGGTAACACAGTCACACACTGCAACCTTTACTTGAGTGACAAGTGACTGGCCAAGTCTATCCGTAACTCTGATAGGTACTGTGTATTGTCCAAACTGGGGGTCATTCAGATAGGAGAGCCGGGCTGCTGTATCTGAAAGAAAATAAAAACAAGTGTTATAGACTGTGATGGTTTCTCCCGAGGATGGATTCCTAGTGACAGGGGGTCATCATGTTTCCCTACAAATGGGTATTCCTGATGGGAATGGCACAAATGCTGCAAGACTGTAAATGTGAACGGGTAGAGGAGTTATAGAAGTTTGCCTGTGCTGGCCTCTTCTTATAAAGGTCTCCTGGCTTTTGTAATAATATGTCTTATCTGTCCATAAACAAATCCTTCCCGTCACAAATAACAGACATGCTAAGAGATTGGTTTTTATCACATCTTTAAAAATTTTAATATAACCAGTCAGTGTACATTCTTTCATGCGTGATTCACCAGAGAACTTCATAGTCTAGAATTCTGGATGTTTCCCCTTACTTTGTTTTCATACATTGTGCCAAACCTTGAACATATTATCAAGGCATGAGTCATGCTGCCAGAACTTCTCATGGTCCTACAGGACACTGGGACCAACTGGATATATTTTAGTTTCCAAGTATTTTTTTTTAAGGTCAAGAGTACAAATATCCAGGCCAAAATCCGACGCAGTCTTGGGCACAGAGCCAAAAATATACAACTACTCTGAATGTAGATTTCACGTGCCCAAGGCCAAGAATAACCCCTCCCCACTTAACGGGCCCAGTGAGACATTTTCATTATTTTTATGGTGTTTAAAGCTCTAAACATAAACTTGGATATCTGAGTAAAAAAAAAAAACTTATTGAATTAAGTCAATTTTTAAAGAAAGCATGGTTAATTCAGTAATTCTATGTATAAGAAATTATAAAAGACTAACAAAACTAAAATTTATGACTCACAAGTGCTATGGTTTATTGCACTGATCATCTTGTTTATGTCCCCACATAATCCCATTTTCCACGTGAGTAAACTGATGCCCAGGGAGAATAAATAGCATGGCCAGACCTAAAGCCTCTTTACAGTACGTTCTTTTTAACTTGGTGTTTCCCAGCCTCTTGGGCTATTTCACAGACCAGTAAAATTTAAAAAAAACCAAAGTTTTGACCAACATAACCCTGCCAGTCTTTTGTTGTACCAAGTAGGTCTATTTTAAAAAATTATCACCTCTTTCAATGCTATATAAAAAGAAATGATATTATGACACCAAATAAGTAGAAAGGACGTCTCAATATAAGGTTAGTTCTTCCCAAGAAAGCACAGTTGATAATCATACACACAGACACACACAGAGGTGTACTGGAACGCTATTGTTAAAAACACTGAAAATGTTGTCAGTTCGCAGAGCAACTTGTCATAAAAGGAGACCAAGGAATATTCACTGAAAGCTGAAAGCATGTGAATGAGAACCATTCAAGGGCATTTTAAAGGCAAGCCCCATTCAGCTTACAATGGATCTTGAGTCGTGAAAG